TGTCAGTGATCACCTAGAAGAGCAAAGTGGTTTACTTATTTAACCGGCTAAACTACTGCAGCAATATGAAACATAGCTGTAACCAGATTGTGATCACCAAATGCATGTGCTTGGACCTGATAGAGGCAGATATTGAATAAATGAGGTCATCTTGAAATATGGGCTTCAGCAGCTTGGACTCTAGGACGTATATGATTTTATAAGTTTTCATACTTATTGTCTGCTAGATTTAAGACTGATTGGAATAAGTCGTTAGTGTATGAGGGATGAAAGGTGTTTAGGCTGGGTTAGCACTCACTGCTTCAACACGATACTGTGGATGGAGTCCAAGATACCATGTAACTCTCTGACTTAGGATGACGTCAGATATACATCATACACGAGAAGAGTGGTGATCATGCTGGAGTGTTTTTGTGTCCTCTGTATGTAAGTAACGGAAAGACAACGAAAACTTTTTAAACGTTTACTATGGGACCGAATTTCTGATCATTCCGTGTTTTGTTGTTACCGATCTTGTTTATCACTACAGGGATGCTATTCTGAAGACGTAAATAAAGTACATGAAAAGCATTTGAAGATCGTCTTATTTTTTACTCTAACAAGTGATCGTTGCTTTGTTTGGGTGCTATTTTTGTGAAGAACTCATCAGTGAACAGAGAGAGCCTATAAGGTTGCTGATAAATCGCAGCTTGTAAATGTTTACATAAACAGAGCGTCTTGCCATACGAATAATCCCTATTTCTGGGCTAGAATAAATCTACCAAACCACTTTCTTCCGGTAACCACAAATCAATTTATTTGATTATATGCACAGATTATATCATAATTCACTCAACTGCCAACCCCATGAATGTAACTGGTATCAGATCACATCGGTAACGTTACTTTGTGCAAGCCATTTCTTGGCACCCATATTGTACCGAAAATAGGCTGAACGCTCTCGTACCACGCTGCGCACTACACAAATGTGTTGTGTTTTTAGTTAGGTAACTGTCTACAGCTGCAATTTTGATTTACGATATGCATGAATGAGAATACAGAGTCGCCTTATACACAAGAAAGTATACTGATCATTATCATCAAAATCAACATAGAGCTAGGTATTATTCCGTAACGGTCCAAGTTGACACATCTCATATCAGTACATGAATTAACAAGGCAATAAACTAGAAGATGAAGAGAGAAAAATCGGTCAAAAAAAGTAGAAAGTAGTAAAAGAGAGGAAGGAGGAATGGGAAAATGATGGGATTAAGTACAGCGGTTAAGATGACGATAATATGTGTAGATATCTGCGCCACTGACATTTGTTCTAAGCCATAACACCTAGAGTTTTCAACCACTAGTTTCTCTCATCCCGCGGACTCCAACCGGCTAGTCTGCATCACCCCACATGGTTCAAACCAACAGTCAGAGACTTCATGGATTGATACTATGTTTTAGCTTGACCACCACGAGCCTTTTTCTAGCCGGAACCTACTTAGACCAACATTGTGTGACGAGGCGGACGATGGTAGGCTATATGTAAGACATATCCCAACCATCTCAGTCGATGAAGGTTCACAACTGTGTCAACTGACCTACCTCTCCTTCATAAAACTCTGCGTCCGACTTCTGTGCTACGCACGTCGGGGCACCACGAGACACAGAGTATGGTACGCAGGCAACAGTGGTCAAACACTTGAAGCCTTCTCATGTCTTTTACCTTTAATGACCATGTTTTACAGCCATATAGTAGAACAGAGAGGATATCGCGGCGGCGCCACAGATGGCGACAGTTGGTAAAAGCCATCTGACCTTTATGTATCCGTGTATCCGGTCACTGAGCCACCCAGGCTGATCCGACTTCCCAGGTGAGAGAAGTGTTCAGTGCACTCAACCACTTCATTCTCTATTGTTAGTCGGGCTACCGTTGAAGAGCAGTCCTGGAGCAACAATTTGCATTTGGGTGGTGAGAAACGCATCCCATTCTCAAGGTGTCAGTACCTTTACCTAACAGGACTACGTCATCTGCGTATTCCGGGTCTACCGAAAATTCTCCTATGATTAGGTCAATCCCTTTTTAGTCAGATGACGAGAGGGAGACCTCTATAAGAACGTCTATGGTAAAATTTAAGGAGAATGAAGAGAGTGGGCATCATTAACGGACATCACTCGACGTGCGCAGTTCACCCAACATCTAACCATAGGTTCTAACACGCCTACAAGAGTTCCATTAAAGAGCGTTCAACAAAGTCATGTACTCACTCGGTGCCCCTTTCAATGAGGAACATTGTCATAAGACGTCTCGATCGACGGAGTCGAATATCGCCTTCAGGTGGAGAAACATAGCTAGTGTTGGGCGTGGGTAAGCGTGCCTGTGTTTCAGAACCTGGTAGTGTTAATATTCGGTTGATACACTCACGGCCAGGTTTGAAGCCTACTCGGTTTTCTGGGGTTTGCTGTTCCCGAGCTCCACTCGGGCGTCTGGTGATTATAGAACCTAGAATCTTAGACACTATGTTCGTCAGGCTGATTTCTATGTGGTTATCACGAGAGGACTTCTATCCTTTCTTGAAGACAGGGATAGTCAGTGATTGAGACCAGTGAGAGGGGATCAAATTTGACTCCCATACACTAGTCAACATTTTAGTTAACTTGACTAAAAACATTCTACCACCATCCTTATGCACCTCAGGAGTTAGTCCGTCTTGTCCTGCTGCCCTTCCTCGTTTCAAACTATCTACCGCTTTCTCGACTTCTGCTAGTGCTAGAGTGCCTATCTTAATGTTCCATTCGGGATCCGACTGAATAACGGGCAACGCAATAGTAGCTGGAGGCTAGTCGAACTGTTCCCTGAAGTGTTCTGGCCATCGTTCCAGTCGTCTCTCCCTTAAGTGAATCGCAGGCCCATCCTTTTTCGCTAAATTCTCACTAACCGTTTACCTTCTCGCCCCAGTTTCTTTAGTGTCTAAATAATTATCTGCTGTTACCTATCATCGCTGCCTTTTCCATCTCTTTAGCCTTCGCCGCCTACAACTGTTTGCCGTCATTGTGTAGACCTTTTGTCAGTCTACATTTGAGTTACATTCGCTCCTCGATGTACTCAGATCTTGCAGAAATACGTTCACGCGCATCCATTAATTCAGAAGCTGCTGATATCCACTGGTTCTTTTTAACCACTCTTTGAGAATTGGCTACAGTCTTCAACACTGTTTTTATAGCAGATTGGAGATAGCACCAAGCTTCTTCTGGATGATTGATAGTGTTCTGTTCTGATAAATACCTAGCCAGTTTTCACTGAAAGCGACCTCAGTGCTCTCATTGTCGAGCTGAACTCGTAACTTTTGTTGCTAAGGTTTTTCTATATCCATCGAGACGCAGACATATGCGCGCTTGAACCAACGTATGGTCGCTATCCAAACACGTCCTCCAGAAGGAGTGACAGTCTTCCATCGACGCTCTCCAGTGATGACTGATAACAATATGACCTATATGTATCCATCGGTGAGTTGAGCTCGGTGGACGCCACGTCAGACAGTGTCTTTCTTCATGTCTGAAGTTTGTGCTAGCTAGATATAAATGACTATCTGAGCACGGTTGTAGTAGGCAATCACCGTTATCTGTTCGTTTAGTCGGGATTCCGAAAATGCCACTTATGTGTCTTTCTGCCTGACCCAGCCTACCCACGTGTGTATTGAAATCACCTGCAAAAACAATTACATCTGAACTTTTGGCTTTGGAGAGGTGAGACAGTTTTCGGTAGGACTCATCTTTCACTTCATCCGAACTGCAGTCAGTGGGTGTGTAAGTAGAGATTACAAAGAGACAACAGCGAATTTCACTGTTCCTTTTAATCCACACTGTGCGGTTCCGCTGGACAGAGCATAGGCGACTGTCAACTGGGGTCTAGTCCAGAAGTGAGGTTCCTGCTTCAGTGCTTAATACTATGCGTACACCTGCAAGACCACGAGAGCTGGTCATCGAATCTCCAAAAACTCGGTGGGTAGATTTCGTGGATTTATTATATTGGTCGGAAAAGGTTAAGTGAATAATCGCACTCGGGTCCTGTATGTGTGTCTTATAAACACAATGCTCGACCAAGGGTCGAGTTGCAGGAGTTTTGGCCAATTTGAAAGAGGGCATGGACATTGAATCCTCCAATGTGTAATTTGGAGGGTGGTTTAAGGAGACCAATGACTGAAATAGTTGTCGAAAGCTGAAGAGCTAGAAGAAATTAGAGATGCTGTGGGATTGTTAACTGGAAGATGCGAAGGAAAATTAGAAGGTAAGGATGGATGTAAATATTGGTCTGAGGGAAGCGGAACGCTCACGGGTTGCCCACACCATGGAAGGTTAGGTCTTCTTAAGGTATCTGGGCGAGAAAAAGATTTGTGTGACCGCAGAGCCCGTGAGACATTTACACGAGGCCTGTGAACTGCTGTTTTGACGGTTGGTTATTCTAACACTAGATAGACAAAACACCCATACCGCCGGCACCGGAAGACTGTGGGGCATGGTGGAGTGTGTTATTTTTGGGTTCGACATCTTCCACTCTCCCTCCTGTCTATGAGAAGGCATCAGAATGGCACTACTGGTCATCCAGGGGAACCACTAATGATGTCGCACCCCATCCAGCTAGCAGCAGTACGATTTCACTCTCAGACCCCCATCACAGTGTAGTAATTTACACCACAATGGTAACTGCTTCTCGTGTTACCACTATCTAATAGACCTTTCTGGCATGGTAGGACCTCGAGGGAGCAAGTGTTCCACTAGCATAGCTCGTTGGGTCATTGTGATATCCAAGCCTGACCACTAGGTCAAGGTGGCAGGTGTCTGTTGTGCGCTCCAAAATGTCGTCACTAGAGGGTAACAAGTGTATCGGATACTAAGGTTTCATGAGACATTTATTTAAAAATAAGTAGGATTGTTTATATTTATCATCATATGAGAAAAACTTTCAGGAACGTGAATACAAATGAGTGATAAATAATCTAAAATGATGGAGGAAAATGACTTACATGAAGTCCTGTGTGATGGTAAACACCTGTTTTATAATACTGAAAATCTTCATACACTTCGAATCCTACAGGGAATGGGCCATTATGAATAAGTTCTAGTTGCATAAGTTCTTCATTAGTAGCACCATAATAACCTCCAATATAGCTATAATCAGTAGTATAGTAGCGTGTACAATTCTTAGATGCAGTACACCGTCCACTATCTTTACCAACATATGGATCACATTCTTCTGAGACAAATCCAAAATCTTCACCATACTTGCCAGCAATTAAGTAAGGAAAACCACCACCGCAACCTAAAAATAAAACAGATATAAGTTGTTGTTTGATACTTTTAATTCCCCGTTGCAATACACGGTCGAACAGATCAACCTCTTTTGACAGATGGGTTCCTATGCGAATGTTGTATTTATCTTGGTGACAAGGAATAGAATCCAAGATGCGCGTCCTACTTTTGACTCGTCAGCTGGATTTACTTGCACCCTAATGAGTGGTGTTGTTCCCTTTGAGACTCGAACTTAGTACCCACCGCTTCAAACGCCAAAGCGTTAACCACTAGACCAGTGAGGCAACAGATATAAATTGTTTGAATATTAGAACACAAGAAGGGTAGAATACATGAATTTTGGCATTATACATAAGGGAATATTCAAACTATGATAATACTTCAATGATGATGACAGTGAGGTCCCTGAAAGACATTTTATCTTACCTCGTTAGCCTCAGCTGGATACACTAGTATCACAATGCTTGATAAGAGAACCTATTCATTTTTAAAAGGCTACAGAGTTATGTACTAGGCGACGAAGTTACGATCTCGAAGTTTTGCGTAATGAGAAGACATTATATTGCGATGGTTTTGTGTTTTCTAGGAACTAATTTAATAAGCTAGTGCTTGTGATGGCCACCAAGCCTGGGGAGGAAATGTCTACAGCAAAACGTTAGAGCTCTGAGAACACCAAACCATCTTAGTCCTAATTCTGAGCATTTTGATATTAATGACAGATAGTGGCCAGCAGTGGAATCCATCCACCATTAATATCAAATTTGAAAATCGCAGCAATATAGAGGCATCCGCATAGCAGCGTATATGTCAGTAGTGGCTGATCAGTTCGGTCGAATCGGCGACGCAAATTCACAAGCTATAACATTGAAAACCATTTTCACCACGTAAAACGTTTATGTGCACGACCGAGTAATTACACTAATAAATGTCTATATCAAAGTAGATGATCTGGTCAACAGACATGTTTCCAGCCACGTTTACTGACATGGGAGCAGCAGGAAGGAAAGTAAATCAGTGCATTAAAGACTATACTATACTTACGCCGAAAGCAGCTGTTTAGAGGGAAAAGGTGAAATGCAAATGGAAGGAAAGGGATTTCAAACTATCCATCGAATTACGATTCAGTATGCATAATTTATTCCATTTTCTGGAAGTGTTTCTTATTTATAAGACTTCTGAAAACTGGCAAGGACGAAAGCACAAAATTGTTTGTCCCTATATGAACAACTCATACTGCACAATATACGTGTGCAAAAGGTTACTTCATAATTAATCGACTCAGTTGTATCATATTTCATTACAATGCTGAATAAAAAATATACAGATTAAAATTTCTTTGAGAGGTTGACAGTATGTCCTAATTATATCATCAACTGCAGTTAACACATTTAGCCTTAACTGAGTTAACCGTCTATTAAAAACCACACTGTTACAGAGTTGACTGGCTTAAGTAATTGACTTTCATTCAGTCGGTCACCCGCTAGAAATATGCTCAACTTAAGGTGATATCAGCCATCAGGCAATGGCGTAGACCATAATATAACATATGAAGTTCATAAACCGGTGCATGAAACTTTATGCGGTCACTCATCGCATTACCTGAGAATTATTAGGCATATTTCAGTTGCGTATTCTAAAAAAGATAAATGTAACTCAGTAATTATATTCAATTTCGTCTACGCACTATATGAGCCAAACAGGTACAGGTGGAGTAAGTTTGAACTTCCAAACGCAATGTGGAAGTGTGAAGCATACTTATCGCTAACTCATCCATCAACTGAAAGACCTGCAAGTTAGCATCCAATACTGATGTACTAGTTTCAACACTAACGTCAGTCAACTGAGTCAGAGTTTCTATGTGATGGTTGAGAGGCTTGGCGAGTCACGAAAACCATCTCCAACAAACTACAAACATACATGAACATCTGCCGCCCACGCTCACTAAATACTGAAGATCAGATGGCTAGAATAATAAGAATAAGCAAGAAGGAACTCTGGCTGGTTGGTAACGAATCAACCAAGAACCCATCGCCAAACAAATATGCAGAAGAATGTGGAGATGGATTGGATTGGATTGGATATACACTGAGAAGACCGTTCGGGGACATCACGTGACAGGCCAGGTCAGGTCGTCGAGTGGAACCCAAAGGGGGAACAACGAGTAGGGTGTCCGAGCCGAGGGTGACAGAGATCGTGTGAGGCAGTCGTGGAGCCAGGTTCGAAAGACTGCAGAGAAGAGAGTGGAATGGAGACGTGCTATTGAAGCCCTATTTTCCACTAGGAACCCAAAGGACTAATAATAATAATGGTTTACTGGACTAAAGGAAATGTCATTTCTGTGCCTATATATCAACGACGCACTTCATGCCAAAAAAATGGAAACTAATATAACATTTTTAAAAGTCGTCGCTATGCATACACGTTAAACAATTCAAAAGATGTCACACTATTACACGTATGGTCAAGAAACACGCAATTGAAATCACCTTCAGAATAGGGGCTACAATCAACCACAGCTTGAGGAGATAAAATAGGTTGTTCAGTAAAATTGCTAGCTAAACGGATACGAGCTTCGAGTGCAGCGGCAGATGCAAATGCATAACAACTTCCACAAGACCCTTGATCACGAACTGGTGTGACAGGACTTTTCAAACCTTCTGGTGGACTGACCCAGTCAAATTCTACTGGAAGATTTCTAGTTAAAGAAAGTACTTTCTCGGTTGCCGTTCTTCTACTCAGCATTGAGTGAGGTCTGAAAAGAAAAATAAGTTTGTAATAAAACTATGAGTTCTGTATCAACCTAAAATACGTAAGGTTCGATGTTACCAAAAAAGGCTTAGTATCATAAAAATTTACTGATGTTTACTCTAAAAGATTGAACTCAGTTATATTTCATGTATTTCTCAGAAATCCCTGGTACGAAAACATTTAAACTAGTTTACGAATGCATATTAATTTTATTTGTAGCACGCAGTTGCGTAATGGCTTATTGAGCGTTTTCATATGAATTGTCGTGACAACAACTAGTGATGTTCGCCGGGGATGTCCACTGTCATCGTTCCTATCTAACAACGTTATAGGCGTAGTAATAGGCATAAGCTTAGGTACCCATGATTTAACAGGGATTGATTTACTCTCTGGAAGTCACCTGTTTGACTTTGAGTATGTAGACGATATTGTCCTGTTGGGTGAGGATGCTGACAAAATGTTGAATATGGCTTTTCTTTTCGTTTAGGATTCGTGAGTAGTTCACAACAAGATTTCTTCTCCCGATCAAAATCAAAACCTTAAACTCATATGGTGAATATTTTGGTGTTGAGTAGGTGAGTCAGAATACAGTGACCAGCATTTTCCAACTTCAAATCGTTATTGTTGCAGCACAAGCAATCGTCAACATGATTGGTTAGGGTTGGTTTCCACTTATAGTACACAGACTAGATTACTTCAATGACAGTTACAAACAAAAATATAATAACAATGTAACTCAATCAAGTACAGGTTTATTTACTAGGCCATGAACCACACTAACTGTATCAAGCCTTACGATAATACCCGGTTGCAATGACCAAAGTAGATGGCGTGGGATTCAAATCCCAAACTCACAGCTTAAAAGTTGAGTCCTTAACCCAACTAGCAAAAAATACGGACCACCAAAAGCTGGAAACTTAGAACAAACAGTTCCCCTAAGTGTCTTAATGGCGATGTGATCTTTGTGAGATCTGAGATTCAGGAATTTGATAAAGAAAGAGGTCGGTAATGCATGTTGCTAAAGCATCCAAAACAAACAAATATTTAGTTCCCTTCTTAGTAATTTAAAAAATCACAGTTGGTAACATCAGCTTTCTTCAACAAGAATATTTGTAATTAAAAGTAAGGAATCAACACTTCTTGCAACTAAAATGTACAATAAAAATCTACCTAGAAAGCGTTGACTTCACATTACCAGCCCGATTTCTTAGTTCATTTATAGTGTACTTTGATAATTCAGGATACATAGTTGCTTGCCAAGAGTTTTGGTGTGCATTTATTCTGTCCACAAGTGATGAATCAACTTGATAAACTGTATTACCATAACTTCTTGAGGCTAACAAATTATTATTTTGAGGTCTGAAATTAGCAGGAAAAAACATATTATCTGAGAAAGATTAAGTGAAAAATCTTTGAAACAAATAATTAACATCCATATTACATAAACATTACTATGTCCAGTCATATTTTTAGTAAACGCCTTATTTAGCCCTTTAGTTGTATAAGTATTTAAAGTCAAACCTCGACAACTTCGTTTTGTGCATGAGATGATACAAATAAAACTGTGTTGCTACTACAATTTTTTAAGTGCTTGTATAGAGACAGACAGACTCTACATAGAACCTCACACACGACTGCATCCGCTCAAGTTGCTACATACATTGAAAAAATACACAAACAACAGATGGAGAGAAAAGGAGTGATAGTAAAGTAGATAAAGTTGAGTGAAAGCATAAACAACCCGAAAAATAAGTGCAGTGGGAATAGTCAAGCCTTAGAAGACGTCAGAGCGTGGATACATCTGCGCCATTGTGATAGATTTTCAGCTACGTCACCAAGAGTCTTCAACAACTGATTGCTTTTGCAGCTGGGACAACAACCAGGCAGTCTACATCTCCCCACACGGCTCAGACTAACAGTCAGAGACTTTATCGACTGTTACCACGTTTTCGTCTGGCCATACTGAACCCGATTCCAACTTAATACAACTCTCACTAGCATGGCACGTTGAGGTAGGTGATGGCATGTACAGTACGTGTCCAAGCCATCTCAGTCAACTAAGGTTCAAAAACTTCAACAATCGACTTGTCTGTCTTGTCGAATACTCTTCGCCTGACCTCAACAGTGCTCACATGGTAATCCCATCATACGCGAGCAATGCTACGAAGATATTTTTGATCAAAGTCCTTTGGTCGCTTCACATCCTCTACTTTCAACGGCTATGTCTTACAGCCGTATAACAGGACAGTGCGGTATACTCGTCTTTTGACAGGTAGTTGAATATTTTAACCGTTGGCGCCACGGATGACGGAAGTTGGCAAGTGTCAAACGGATCTTCTGTATCCGAGCTGAAATTTCGTCAGTAAATAACTCGTTTCGGGTGATGCAATTCCCCATGTAAGTGAAGTGGTTGACATAATCCACACCTTATCAGTAAATTGGGAGTGGTTGCAGACCAGTCACGGAGCTTTTATATGGCTACTTAAAATTTTTATCAACGAGATACACGTACTATTTGAAGGTTGACTATGCCTACTTATTATGTACACGAACCTTACAAGGTAGGGAATTTAGAACCTATAGTCCACTACTGGTTTGTAAGCCGGAAGCATAAGCCAGTGGACAATAACTCCACTTTTAAATGAGTTATGAGCGAGCACTAAATGGTATACGTAGAGAAAAAATATGAGTTGGTCATTGAACTAACAATCAATTTCACATGCCTACATTGTTATCGACAAATAACCCCAGCACTATAGTAATACCATTGTTGTTGGTGTATTTTTCAATTACAGTACTTTAAGTATCAGAAAATTTCTAAACTGAGACCGTTTAATTTAAGAGTGGTGTCATGAAAATTTATTTCGCTATCTCAAATTAGATTGATTTCTGTGACTCATCTTACTACATTTATCTTGAAACTATATATGAGTAAGGGAGAACTTTCAAAAAGGAATAAACACTTGAAAAAGTATTCAATATCGAGTAGAGAAACATAATTGAGATAGTGCAATTAGAAGACAAAACCTCGCAGAATTACCACTGAACACAAGCCCTCCGACAAAAGCCAAAGTCTTAAACGCCATACAGCTGCTGAAATCCAGGAAAGCAGGAGGACTAGATGGAACTCAGCCAGAAGCACTGAAAACAAACACAGAAACAACAGCGGACATGCTCACACCATTACTGCAGAAGGTTTGGAAGGAAGGGAAGGTACCCGCCGAGTGAAAGAAGGGCTAACTTGTTAAACTTCCAAAGAACGGAGACCTACGTCTTTGAAAGAACTGGTGAGGAATCATGCTCCACTCCTTTCCACCCCCAAGCAAAATATTAAGCCGCATCATCCTGGAGAGAGAACGAAAAATGCTCTGGATTCAAAATTACGACCAGAATAGGCTGGCTGGCTTCAGGAAAAACAAATCATATGTGGTTCAAATTGCAACGCTACACATAACCATCGAATAGAGCATAGAATGGCAGTCAACTCTCTACTTTACCTCAACTTCATCGATTTTGAAAAAGCATTTGATAGCGTCGACTGGGAAGTGATTTGGAAGCTGCCTCAAAACTACAGTGCCACAAACCTTTATTAACCTCATTTAACAGCTGTATGAAGACGATACGTACCAAGTGATTCACAATGGAAAGCTAAGTGACGCCTTTAAAGTGAAGACAGGAAGGAGTAAGACAAGGCTGCCTACTATTACCGATGATCTTCCTGATTGTGGTGGACTGGATTATGCAACAAAATGTAAGGAGCGAGAAGATGGGCATACGCTGTTTGACCGATGAAAAGACCTCAGAAGATTCGGATTTCGCAGATGATGACTTATAGCGAATGTCGCACAAGCTCGGAAATCTACAGGCAAAAACTAACAAGTTGACAGAAGAGGCAGGGCAGTGAAGACGGGACTTCAAGTGAACGTAGAGAAGACGGAGGTGATGAAGATACCCAACCAACAACAGTATCAACAGCAAGAGGCACTAATCACTACTAACGGGAGAAACCTAAAGGAAGTAGTCTCTTTCACCTACCCACCTACCTATGCAGCATCGTTTCAACTACAGGCGGTAAAGACGACGATGTCAAAACCAGGATCAGAAAAGCAAGAGGAATCCACTAACATGATATCAGTGTGGAGATCTGCTGCATTCAGGACAAAAACAAGATCCAGATTTTCAACACTAATGTCAGTCAACTGAGTCAGAGTTTCTATGTGATGGTTGAGAGGCTTGGCGAGTCACGCAAACCATCTCCAACAAACTACAAACATACATGAACATCTGCCGCCCACGCTCACTAAATACTGAAGATCAGATGGCTAGAATAATAAGAATAAGCAAGAAGGAACTCTGGCTGGTTGGTAACGAATCAACCAAGAACCCATCGCCAAACAAATATGCAGAAGAATGTGGAGATGGATTGGATTGGATTGGATATACACTGAGAAGACCGTTCGGGGACATCACGTGACAGGCCAGGTCAGGTCGTCGAGTGGAACCCAAAGGGGGAACAACGAGTAGGGTGTCCGAGCCGAGGGTGACATGGAGATCGTGTGAGGAAGAAATGAAAGCTTCTGGGCAGTCGTGGAGCCAGGTTCGAAAGACTGCAGAGAAGAGAGTGGAATGGAGACGTGCTACTGAAGCCCTATTTTCCATTAGGAACCCAAGGGACAAATAACATAATAATAATGATAATAATTAGAAGTTTATTTGCACAGTGTATGTGGTGTATTTGCGGAATACATTTCGAACAAAATGATCACATATTTACTTGTCAAGTCAATATTTATAAAACCGAGGGATAGGAGGACAAGTATAGCAATTGAGATAAATAAGGATGTAGTGTAAGAACAAATTGTTTTGTACACACAAAGGTGGTTTCAATTTGTGTGTAACTATCGCTTCTGCAAATCTCAGTGTGCGTCCTTGACTGACTGTTTCTATATTCAACTTTGACAGCTGTTTGAACAATAATTTTGTGACCTGTTTTTATGATATGTTTAGCTATAAGTGAAAAAGGTTGTCTTCTACTTACGCTTAGCAAAGTTTCACTGTTTTTGAGGCCATTTGGGTACATGTTCTCCTATCCTCAACTGCATGGCTCCATTACTCCTCCCTATCTACGTGTGACCACACACACACACACACGTAAACTGGTACACACAAGTCCCCTATGCATGGTAGAGTGATGTGGATACTTTTTTTGTGAACCGTACATAGAGTGCTACTTGACTTCTACAACGGTCTGTAAACTTCAACGTATGTCTGTTTTCTATAAGTGCCTTTGTCATTAATTTGATATCTTTATCCATCGTATCTGATGTACATATACGATAGTTTCTATTAAAAAAGCATTTTATTAAACCTTGCTTGGATTGGACAAAAACTATAAAAATTCCAATACTGTCTTGTCCATGTAGGTTTTTTGTCAACTGAAGGTCTTATTGAACCATCTTCACGTCAACTCAAGAGTACGCCTAAGAATGGCAGATGATTATTATTCTCTTTCTCACAAGTCAGGTTGATATGAGCTTGTGTTAAGTCTTTTTAGTAGACAAACCATAACCTCATACTTCTCACAAATCACTGTGATGTCATCGACATATTTTTTGTAAAGGGAACTTTAGCGATGATATTATCAGTCAGATTTTCGATATATGACATATAGAAATTGACTAGTAATGGTTCTAAGGGACTTTCCATAGATACACCGTCAACTTGACGAAAGTATTCACCTTTAAATATGAAATATCGGTACATATTTATAATATTTCCCTGAGAAAAGTTGGAATGATAGGGAATAGGAGGTTTCTAGAAGACATGTAGTTACAGAGAATGTCAGTAGTCATGGACAGCAGAACGTTAATGGAAACAAAACACTCCCACTAACCAGCAACTGAAACCTCTGGATACAAGAGCTACCACCAGTATTTAACTTCTAAGACCTCGCCTATTGGCTTCAGAACCTGACTCTCAACCATTGCATCCTGGGTTCGAACCCGGCCTTACCTGCGTCCTTCCACCCGGGCAACCAAACAGTACAATAAGTTCTCACACAAAATTTACTCGATAAACAGACATGGGAGTACACTTTTTCACCAAATCTATTTTAATTAATATATCATAAACTTTGGGGAAGCAAACATTGAATTCGTATGTATGTAACTGAAACTAAGGCACACTGTGACTCAAGCAAAACCTTCAACGTAACACACCAAACTACGACAGAATACCATCTTTATTTAAAGTAGGACTTAACAGTCCAAAAAATGTAATCATACTTGTCAGGTACTCCAATCTTCTCCGCCATGAAACACTTCCATTGACGAATTAAAGTATCGTGTGTCCACATAGGCATAGATTTATGACAATTAAAATCTCCATTAGATTTATAAGAGAAGATAATCAGCCATTTACGATGATTTATTGTCACTTCAAATCCCTATATAAAACTATAAATTTTCTTTTCTATTCAAACATACTTGATTGTAGATGAGAGTCCAATGTCCTCTGTTACCAGATGCATCAGTTGCAATATCCGGGTATAAAAGATTAATGACAACAGACTGCTTTGGCTTGACTGAAATACCATAAAACTTTTATGGACTAAACTTACATCTCTCAGAGCATTTTGTCTGATGGTCACCAACATGAAACATCCATCGGCCATGTGCATCTTCATAAGTACAATTGGCAGGAGTGTCAGACTTTATCAGTCGGAAGTAAGCAATTACAACCACAACGAAGTAAATCATACAGTTAAACATTCTAAAACACCTGTAATAAAAAATACGCTTGGCAAATTATTAGAACACTACAACCTATTCATGTATGAATTCATGTTATACACCAACCCTATCAAACCACGTATTTTGATCGAATATGCAAATGCCACACGTGCAATTTTAAAAAAAAAAACAACCCTAACGACTTTTCCAAGTTAATCAACATACTTGTTTGTCACATTTAAAAATCACATGTGAATATAAAAATACAAGGAGTGGACTGCCATTTTTAGACTGTTTGGTTAAAAGGAATGGAAATATAAGTTTATCCACTTATTGTAAACCAACACAGTAAGATGAATATCATGATTCCAACTCAGTACATCCACCCAGTGTAGTTAGAACGTTGAGAAGAACACTTCGATGCACAGTTCTACTGGCTCTCAGCAACACAGTCGCTTTAAGATCATATTTCATATGAGGGCTACGTCATTGCCCGGGCACCCAGACCGAAGCAGGAAACTACTCCACAAGCCTTTGGCTTCAAGTCTAATCAGCAAAGCAGTGGAGCAACATCAGGAGCTGCATTCCCAGTGACCAAATTAGGTTCATGTGCCATTCGTTCCTTCTGGAACCTGCATCCTATGTATACCACTGGCTTGGAATCAGTTTCCCAGCTGTCTTAGGTGGACCCTAAGTATACACCAATCCGGTGATAAGAGTCGGACATTCGCCCTTTCACTTTTGTGGGAACACTCCCGCAGCGTAAGTAGCAGGAACTGTTTCCTATTCAGACCCCCGGGAAACGATACCAATCGCTCTTAGTAAATTCAGAAATGCTTAGATCAAAAGGTCCCAAAAATTGATTAAAGGAAGATATACTCTTTTGGACAATTTGAGTGACAACTTGAGAATATCTCAGATTCGTTTTCATCGAAAAATGCAAACTGTTGGTCCAGGATTAGTCTTCATTGGTGACCTAACAATAGAAAGTGAAGTGACAGGACAAACTAACAACTTCATTCATTTTGGAAGTCAAGTTAGCCCTGGGAGTCAGCGGTCGATGACACCTTCGCTACTGCAAAAGGTTCGCTTAACCTTTGCAAAATTACGTCATTTACAGCTCCCACGTAACATCTGATTGGCTACTAAGAGTATAGTGTAACGCACTGGGGTTCGTACAATGTTAGATGAAGCAATTTTAGACCACTATAAAGTTATAGGCGGAGACTGAGTCATGTAAAGGAATTCAGACATCCTGATTTCGGTCCGCATGACAACCAAAATCAGAGGTTGGAGGTTCTGTATGATACGGCTCAGAATCGATATCAGCTGCGCAGATGCCTCTACACACTACCTCCAGCTTAATCCTCATTCCGAATTTCATTGCCAATTCGTTTTTTCTTGTTTTCTCTTGACAACTTTCTACCACTCTGACTACTTTCTTCCTTATTTATCTATCATCTTCGTGTCTTCTACCTTGATGTGGTAACGTGGGTAATTGAGAAGTAGTGCTGGACCCCGCTTTGATGCCGACCGACAGAAAAACTGATACCTCAGGTTTCCAACGGCCGCCTCAAATTCGAGGTGGGTTGGAGGTTCGGGGTTGACGCTGGGCAACCGAAGCGTGATTGCAGGCGACTTGAACTATTCTGATCAAAACAATAGCTTTTTGTACTTAGATATTATCAGAAACCTATCATTTTCTGTGGTCTTACGGACCAACATCTTCTTGTCAGTCTCACTAACAAGTTTATATAACTGCTAGATATAACATAGTGCTGACACCTCCGTTTCTATCGCCTTCATCAGTCTACACTGCTTACAGCCATTGCAAAGACTCCTAGTCAACTTACATTCAAGCTGCTATCGTTTCTCATTGTCGCTGGAGTTGGCTGGATTAAGTTTTCTAGCATCAATCAGTTTGGATGAGGTTCGGAAAACTAGCAGCTTTTGATAGTTTTCGGGAGAAGGTTACTGTATGTTTTTACAGCAGACTGAATAAAACGCCAGACTACTTCACATGTATGGAATGAAACAGCAGCGATCCGGTACGGCGATTAAGACGCCTAAATGAATAAAAATAATACAACTCAGTACACGCGTATGCACTAGGTTATGAGCCACATTTTTTTATGTGAGGGCTTATAATACCACCCGGCTGTTAGGGCGGAAGTGGGACTTGATGACGATGATTAAATGCACTTACGCCATTGAGATGGATTTCGAACCATACCATATGAAGTCCTCAACCGCCGATTTCGGTTGTCGTGTGGATCCAAACAAGGATATCAAAACTTCTCTACACGGTTCAGATATATATATATATATATATATATATATATATATATATATATACATATATATATCACTGGGTGCTATGTCCAATAGACTAATTTAATATAGGGAAACATTAACTAGTATCCAAATCCTATACTTACAATACTCAGGACTCTGAATATAACTGAGACCAAATACTTTTTACTCGGAAGCCAGAATATGGGCTGTACCAGAGAGAACACTCATGAACCATAAGGTTGTGAGAACCTTGGTCCTGGTTTATCCGACGAAAAACATGGAGATATGGACTTAAAAGTTGACGTAAAACAACCATATTTAACTCATCCTAACTTCTCCGAGTGTATCAAATCCTGAATTCCCCCAGTTGCAGAAGTAGCAAATTGATAGATCCTTGGGTTTTGCTTCTACAGCACTAAAATAAACACAACTTATTTACTAATCAGCTTGAAAGTACAACGGACAATCCATACCAAATGAGATACGGCTCTTTAATTCTTCTTTGTTTTAGATTCCGTGAAGATCTATGTATGCAAACACTGTACCTTTCACCATAAGTTGTTTTTGAGCACGGTATTTTTGGCCATTGATAATGAAAACTTCATCAACGACCGTTTCTAATGAGAACCTTCTGAAATATTTTCATTAAGTGCCAGTAAACACAAGTCCGATGATTGGTGTTAATGACTTCGTCGGTCCACCTGATGACTAACCGTTGACGGCCAAGTCAAGCAGTTGGGAAGATCTATGGACACAAAAAACGGTGCAATTAAACTTTAGTGACGAGTAACCTTGAGCAAAGGCAAATAGGGTTGAGGATACTGGGGTAAAATTCACTCACTAAGTCCGTCCCATCAAGTTATTGTTCACAGGAAGCAGTTCGTTGATCCCATAACAGGAGTGCATACAAACAATGTGGAAAACATGAAGAGTCGTCTCAAAAGGTTTTTGAGACCCTGAACATGATCGCAATGAGGTATTTCATGCTTTTATGTGGATATATATATATATATATATATATATATATATATATATATAGCCAGTCTATATAGACAGTGATATGGTTTCGAAGATGATGAGCCTGTTGAAAACCAACACATTTTTACTTCTTATGTGAAACAGATCTGTAGGTCGTAAATAAAGTGAGATTTTCTTTAATGACTACCTTTCGCTTCATATTCTCGACTGTGAGTGGTCAGTGCATCATTGAACACGGTTCACGCCACTAAAGTTTGCTTGAACTCAAAACCTATTTAGGAAATATAATTTTAACTGTAATACTTAAGTATCTTAGTCAACATTTTCGCGGGGAAACGGCGCCATTTTTCAAACATAGGCGTTTCGGAGGAGGGCATTTCTGGGGAAAACACCGGGCAGAAGCAAGGGGTTAAAGACTCTGGAAGATGCTGCAAACAGCGCACTGTGCCTCGAGATTTCATTGGGACCTGTAGCATGCCCTCTGGTTTCGCCCTGAATAAATGTTGACTGGGTATATCTATGTATCGGCTATAGCCAATAACAAAGAACATTGTTTCTCAAACCACGCACATTTCCTGTGTCAAACAATACTCCAGGCCTTATCAACAAAACACATTATGAAACGTATCGTCGGTAATAACGACGATATTCCTTCAGTCTGAACGCGATAGGAAGTACATGCGACTACCTTTTGTAACGCACATGTCAAAAACCCGCTGCATGATATTCTACAACAATAGTGTGAGTTTTATTTTTTAGCTCTCACTTCTTGGTTTTCATGTCCGGTTCTTTTTGTTCGGATACGCTTCTCCAGTGGTCACAGAATTCTTTACGTTTTTCCTGTCATTCCAGTATGCAGTATCCTTCTAACGACTTTGTTCAAACCTGCTGATCCTTCCCAGTTTAACAAAGATGCGGAAATAATGCTTGTTAATGTTGGAAAAACGTGGGCCAATGAGTTGATTATGAATGCTGAGACAATGCTGAAATGAGAAAATTTAAGTGGATTTTTGTAGACTACATCCATAATTTGCGCACTTATAGCATAGTTTAAGCCTGTATGCGTACACACAGCTTCATTTACGTACAGTTCCCGCTTCTTTTCGGCGCTACTCGACTTATTTCGGTGCTATCCTCATTATTTACGCATAATTTATGCTCTAACCGGATAATTCTCTAGCACCCATATTATGTAGGCACAATTCCCTCTTTATCTCCCCACTATTTGAGGATTATTTCCGTGTTATTCACGTACTAGCCACCATGTATGCCAACTAATCAGGCCTAATTTACAAACTTCCTGAATCATTTACGAATCAATTTAAAAGGTATGAAATACACGTTATGGTAGCGTAACTACATTCTTCGCAAATAATAGTTAACAAATTGTTTACAAGTTTCGAAATTTGTCATTCATCTTCTTCGGTATCGAGGACATTCTGCTGAAAAATGTTTACGGTGCACATGTAAATAGTGATTTGCTTATTACATGAAACTGTAATTTTACAAGGTCACACACCTTTTCAGGTTGGTCACCATTTGTGCAAAAGGTGAACCGCTGTAAATAAAATATGAAATAACTCAGTAGGTGTTGTGAATGGGGAGACCCACGCGCTATTGAACTTACGAAGGCCTTCGGCTTTAAACGCCTAACTACCTTTTTCCTGGATGCTGCGGAAATAGGACTTCGTAGTCACATCCGGTACAACTTCAGTTTCTCTTTGACTCAGCACGGGCATCGAGAACTTGGAAGTCGTCACAGCTATAGAGGGCATCATGATGAAGGTGAATCTTAAACCTCATAATTTTGTAGAAATTATACTTCACTATCCCGGCCTTTCATAAGGTCACCAGCACGGTAAACTGCGTTCCAAGGTCTGGTTTCAGTACAGTGCTCACCATTACCTTTAGAGACGACTTCGGCTCATCTTGTGCCTTTTATACCGCCTTCGCCGTCTACCGATTTAGACTTTAATAGTTATAACTCACAAATATTTCCTGGAGGTGGTCATCCTTCAGAGATGCTTCCAGAAAATCCAACTATTCCTGCGTTACCATTGGAAAGTGGATATGGAAGCCGTCCGTTGAAACGACAGTAGAGGCTGATGTCCTGTTAATGGTGTCCGCAGTCAGGATGGAAAGTGTTCTTGTCGACACTTTCGAAATTTTAGTAATTCCATCCGCCCACTGATATGGATATGAATTACGACTTACGCACAACATTTGGCAGGAAGATATGAATCTTCGTGACAAAAGGCCCCGTTGATGGGGACCTGTTGGTGGTCAGCGTAACCTGTTATGTAACTTGCTGGTGGCAAAAAGGTCCGCACTACGTGTTGGTGCCAGTGTAGGGGAAGAAGCAGCAAACTCCTCTTCACTAGACGTGCAGTTGAACATCAGTCGACAGTTGGCAACTTACCATGAGATTGGTGGCGGTAGCGGCTCAAGGCGGCTCGTCGTTGGGCATCTACCTTGACTACATGCTCCCTGCATCACATCAATGTCCACCGAGTCGTAGAGGAAACCAGAAGAAGGCTTCTTAGATTCTCTGAAGGCTCATCGGTGCTTAACAATTTCTTCGTTCTCTAGCTCTCTTCGTCCTCATGCTCAGTATATCCCCTGAATTATTTGAAGTTAGTATTGCACGTCTTCTGACACTGGTCACTAGTTTCAAAAGCTTTTCTGCCTCCGCCAGTGGGTCTAAATTGAGGTTACGGTAAATTCGAACTTACTACACGCTTGTAGTTTTTGACATTTGATCAAAGACCACTCTGGGCCTTCGAAGGCGTCATCCGCTTGAGGTTGAACTTTCGCCTTTGAGTTAAAATGCACAGCTCAGCACGAAACATCCAAGAACTGTCAACGATGAGTAATACTTTTTCTGATGACTAAGTCAAAAATATTTCATGTTGTCTGAGGCTTGTAAAAATGAAAATTAATTTTTAATGTACAGAAGTGGAGCAGTGGTACTTATGAGCAACGATTCTTATGGGTCCATACCGTTTATAACTCAAGCCTTGTCCTTGCACAGTGCACAATACACTTGCGGGATATTGCCATCGCAGGTACCCAGAACGATGCATTGCTCACTAAGAAACACCCAAATACATACATATTCCTCGGTGGGAATGGAACCACGAAGTTATCCATGAGGTCTTTATGCGGCCTACGGCGTAGTGACCTTTTGTCCCCCATCTCGACAACCTTGCCAGGCTTCCCCCGATTGATGGCTTCGTTGCCGGGTGCGCACGTGAAGAAATTTGTGTTCAAATACTCAACCTTCTCCTTATTGTCGTGGTATATAGGCCCCTCGGCAGGTTTCTCCCGCATACGCCCATGGCTGACCTTCCCCTGTAAGTCTTTATCTGCATGCCGGTGTGCAGTTTGCTTTGCTGTTGCTTAACCGGAACGAGCTGAAGACCTCATAGTGCGCATGTAAGATTCAAATGGCGCCAAATGATTCCAGAGTACCATGCAGTTCCACTTCGTCAACAATATGCCCCAACGAGTGCACATTGCAAACACATTGTTCACTGCCGCAACAACGCTCATATCCTAGAAGAAAGTTGTTCAAGTCATTCTCGGCCCCTCCCGAATAATAATGGTGTAACCTGGGACTAAACAACATGTAGGCCACCAGTGACAATCTACGGAAATTGGAATAAAGAGGAAGGGTAGAAGACCTTTAAACATAACCTGTCCCAGATAAAGTAGAAAAAGTCGGCATTCCGTGGCTTTCCGGGAGGATGTGTCGTTCAGGGAACGACGCTTCCGCTTGAAGTCCGTCAGAGTTTGTTCCTGGCGTGCCAGTATACTATCACTGATGGGACTCAACACCTCATTGTTCTTTTTACATTCCCGCCTGCTGGCTAATTTTTGTCATAATGGAATCAACTTTCTTGCCAAACCTGGGTGAATCAGATGCATGAGCTTTAAAGGAAGACATCTGATCATGTCGAGTAGTATGTCCTCAAAGGAATTTCAACCTCTATGACTGCCACTGCCAGCTCTACCACGAAACGATGAATCGGTTTGCAGTTGGAAGTCATCGTTAGGTTATGACGTTCATCTATCCAAACGGCAAGCGACAACTAAGCATTTTTGCAACTGCTGGTTCCATTCTTACCTACAGCTCGGTTTAAATCTGAACGTTTAGGAGTGTCACGAATAACCGCAGTCAGTTTAATTGTGATATGCCTACTAGTATCTTCCACAAGTAATCCGTGGTTCAGTAATTATTGAAGTCCTTCTACTAGGTCTTAAGCCATTTCGTTGAAATTAAAGGGTTTTTACGAACCGTCAGAACACTTCACTAGTGCGAGGCTCATTGGCCCTGGCAAGGAGTGTCCAAAATTGCTGACTGGAACTCTTGGTTGAGGGCAATCCATCGTAACTCAGTTGTATTTCGACCTCCGTTGTGGCCTTACATTAATTCCACCCCATTAAGTAACGGGGTAAATTAGATTTCAAACCAGTGCAGTAACAAACCTCCTATTCTAGAAATCGCGGTTCACAAGTGCCACTCCCCTTCAGCAATCCTCGCACACTGGTTAGGATGTAGGAACATATCTGATTCACATGAAGCAGCATTTCATGTGCAGCACCATCGCCCACATAAAGATTGAGCAGCATTTCCATGATCTGTTGCCGGACACGCTCCTGCCGTGTGGCTGGCATGATTGTGCGGTCTTTAGGAGCTTCCTTGGAAGCAAGCTCGGATTCTACGGTAGAACATGACGCGGCCACATGGTCCGGGGCACCCGCTGATA